TCTCATAACAGAAATAACTGAAAGATGAAAGAAATAAAAATAAACTTTTGAATAGAGGTAGTATGCGAGCAATATGCGCAATTCGCATACCCCATCGCATAACTGAAATAACTGAAAGATGAAAGAAATAAAAAATAAACTTTCGAGTAGAAGCGCGAAGGTGGTATGCGAGCAATATGCGTAAATTCGCATACCCTATCGCATAACTGAAATAACTGAAAGATGAAAGAAATAAAAAATAAGTTTTCGAATAGAAGTGCAGTGCGTAGGTGGTATGCGAGCAATATGCGGAAATCCGCATACCCCATCGCATAACTGAAAGATGAAAGAAATAAAAAATACATTTTCGAGTAGAAGTGCGAAGGGGGTATGCGAGCAATATGCGGTAATTCGCATACCGCCTGACATAACTGAAAGATGAAAGAAATACGAAAAAAAACTTATTATGCACTAATTCTTCGAATAATATGCGATGTTGGTATGTCGCAGTTGTGTCGCAGAATTATTTTTTCGACTAATAGTCACAGTTCATTCGCCTAACAAAAATAATTATTTAATGGGCGACGGACCGCGATTGACCGAATCGTACATCGAATCTCCGAATATTCATCGTAGAACAGTCGCATACTTTAACTCATAATTTTCTCGCCCATGCTCATACCTGTCGCCTATTTAGCGCATAGTTCATCGCATATGTCTTCTTACATTTTTGGGTGAAAAACATAGCTTTTTATTGGATGGTATGAAAAACTTAGTATGACTTCAGAACGGGGTGAAAATAACTATTTCCTCTTTTTTTAATTGAACATCCAAACTTTACATTTACTTGCACATAATCAAAATTAGACCCAAACCAAAAATGTTTACCAAACCTTCTAAGAAATCCTCCTTGAGTGTCCGCAAAAATTACGCTAACCGGAGAGACGACGATTCCACTCCGGTGGCCGGCAACCGGAGACCACTGCTCGACAGCCCAGCCGTCCCAAACCGGCCCGCCAGTGGGACCCCCGCCCCTTGGGCCTCTCGCCTTTCCGTCCTCGCTAGGTCGTACCTCTATTACGTGCTTATGCTGTCATTCTCTGTCATTTTTCTTCGACATACATTTTTTTGGAGTAGAACAAAAGGAAATGAGAAGAAATTTTGTTTGTAGGCTAATGTTTACAGTTGAGGGACACTACAAAAGCTTAAGCACCAGTTCTATAAAAACGAAACAAGGACCTTGATGTTTAGTAATTAACCTTTGGAACCTGTTTTTTAACGTACCCAGAATCCCGCCGGCCGAGAGAAGTTTCAGAGGATATGACGTAGATGCTGGTGAAACTGTCTACGTTGGGGAGTTCCCTCAAGTTTTACGTATCGAACCAATGACAGTTCTGAATTACGGCCATGGTTTGTCCAGTGAAGTTTTAATCTGGAAACATATTATTGATAGATTTTTTTTCAACTATTGTTTTTTTATAAACATTTCTAATACTAGTTCGTGTGGCAGCTGATGCATCTGTCTCTGGTGGAATGGACAAGGAGACATCCCTAGCATGGATCATATGTGGAAACGGTCTCTTATCATCTACCGCTTTAAGAAAATGTATCAACATTGACCTAACGTCTGTTAAAGAAGAAATTTTTGGAGACGTGAGCAGCAGCTCATTTGAACCTAAAAATTGGTTAGTCCGTTTTGTCAACTGGGATAGCTTGAAGAAAGCTGGTAGCATCAC